CAAGAGTTCCAGTTCTTCTCGAAGTAAGCAAAGAAAGCTTGACACTTCTTCTTCTTGCAGTACTGGCGTAATGCAAGGTAGGACAGATTGTATCTTATGTGAGATGTGCTAAATAAATATACGCGAGTCGTAGATTAGAAAATTGAATACGAATAAAAAGAAAATGTCACCATACCTGTAGAGTAGTCTGGTCATCCGTCGCAGAAGTTTCTCCTGTTGCGACACCTTCAAGCGAAATACAGGCCGCTTCATGACCTTTTTCCAGTACGTGATTGCGTGAAACTGGCACAGCAATATCTTGGCGCCTGGAAATGCCTCCTTCAGAATACTCCACTCCACAAAATCCTTGTCAATTACCACAGATTCTATGTGCCTCCAGCCTGGGTTCTTCTCTTTGAAGTAATCCAATATTCTTGAGATCGTCACTGCCTGCTCGTTAAGGCAAATGAAGTCAACGACCGGAAATCCTCTCCCTGTAGCCGTAGTGACGACCAAACTTCCTGGATAGCATAACAGGTAGCATAGTAATGTCACGTTAATAATAAAGTTGTCATACGTTGATAAAGTTGCTAAAAAGGTTGCTTTATAAACAAAGGTTGCTATAATACAACCCACACGCACCCAAATGATAACCGAGGTTATTCGTCCCATGAGTGAAATCCATCGCTAAAGTTTCACCCCAGCGCTCGAAAAACAGCTTCTGTACTTTCGTTTGCATAACAATCCCGCATGTTACGCCCATTTGGTCTTGCATCACGAGTATGTCGCTCCCATCCAATTGACGAAGCGCATGCAGCATGTCCTTCAAACGATCTTCAGCGGAATCACGTCCCATGATACTGCGAATGAGATTCCGAGTTTGCTGTGGGGTTATCTTGCAGCCTAGCACAATCAAAGATACAACCCAGAAGAGTTAATTTAGATTAAAATTTATCCCCACAATAAAATCAATGGTACATACCAATGCGCTCGTTCAAAAAGTTTGTGATATGCTTGGAAGATACGCGCGCGTCCGCCAGCGTCTTCACATCTTCGCGGTCTTGATCGTCCAGCGGTAGTGTCTTCGTTGTCAAGTACGTTGAGGCTTGAGTTGCAGTCGTCGGGTGAGAGTGCGTATGATTCTAGAAGTTGTAAAAACAAACACGTCAGAACAATAACAAAATAATATTAAGGGTCTCAACTAGCGTACCTCGTTTTGGATCTGGATTTCGTAGCTGCCGTTATCTTTTTGAGCCACAGTTGCAGTGAACCGAGCCTTGCATCCACAAAAACGACTCTTGCGGTTGCGATGACCTTTGGAGCGAGAGCGCTGAGAAACGCCGTGGGTACAGCGATAGATTCTATGGCTCCATGGAAACTCCGTAGGAATTTGATCGTCGTTAATGCTGCATATTATGAAAGGGAAAGTTAGCCTTACCAGTCATAAAGTACGAAGTAAAAGCGATATTTACATACCTGTTGTATAGCACTGTAGACTCAGAACTTCGAACACGAAACTTGAGGTTATTGTTCTTCTTGTATTCCTTGAAAATTTTATCAAATTGTTCCCAGTTTGCAATCGGACCGGGTGGAAACGGAGTCACCACATTTACAATCTCACCGCGTTCCGGAAGCATGGAGGTCATCTCGTCCAAATGCTTACTGGTGCGCTTCCGTGGTGAGTACTCTGGGCGCGAAGGCGTTGACACCCCAGAAGCTGAACCGCGGTGCTCTTCACCCTCACCTTCCGTCGCCTCGTCTTGCGTGTGCTCGTCCTTCTGGATGTCTTCACCTTCGTCTCGCCTTTCTTCTTCTCTCACCTCTTGATCGTTGCTTCTCACGTACCGTAGCACTTTACGTTTCTTGTTCGACGCCACCG